ACTCTTTATCTCTCTTTTCTCTTGCTATCAAACGCCACCCCCTCTTAAACACTCGAACCAACAAACGCACACGTTTACACATGCGCACATACACACTACACGCCCACACACATTACGCCTCTTCTTTTGTCATCCTCCCTCTCCTTTAAAGGTACTGTGTCCATTTACAGCGAACATCAAATTCTGTAGAACTTTGCAGGAATTATGAATATGTCACGTATGTCCTCTCTGTGAAATTTAAACGTAACAGTGTCCTAGTATTGAAATTGTGCGAGGAAACCCGTTTACTTTGTAGACTTAACTGTCAGACACTATTGAGTGACTGACTCATTTTTTTTTCTTTGGTAATAACATTCGATTCGACAACTAACGGTTTCGATTATTTTCCCACACAAAGACATTTCAAGCCCTTTCGTTTTGAGGGAAGTTCTAAATTTGTATTATCTTTCAAATGCCGGTTGAATTTAACCTTTTCATTTTTGGGGCCTGCAAATGGGACACAGTAACTTTAATAAACGCTCCCTGTCTGTATGCCGTTAGAACAGCATGAATTGTCTCTTAGCATCTGATCAATATATAGGCCCTACCAATAATTCTTCTAGAGATGTATGGAGAAGAGGAAATTTGAAGTTCTTGTTCATAATGTTAAGGATATGACATTGCGTGAACCTGTATCCGTTTCGAGATATTTCCTCCACCAAAACATTAGGGAATTTTTGATGTTTTTTTTCTTCAAATTTGAACAAGGAAATATAATCCAGGTGAAGAGGACTGGAAGAGGGTTTGCCCCCGATGCAGTGTGTTGTGTCACGATGTATAATTGTATTGACTCGGGTTACATATGTTTTGGTCTTGTTCCTGCTTTGTCGATTAACCGTACGGTTTTATTATAATGTTGATTTTGTTTCCCTTCTAAATATAACACCGCTATCTACTTCATAATTTTGATGTCATTGAGAGCTTTGAAGAAACAATTTGGATCACTTTCTTTATCTCAATTATGCATTCCATGCCCCCCCCCCCCCTCCAGAACAAAAAACCTCACGATAGATGTCTGCACATTTAGTCGAATTCACTCAATAGTACGGGGTAAACCTTTGTCGACTTAAACATTTTAATGTCATTAACAGAAAAAGAAAGGTACATAGGCAGTGAGAAGAAGAGATAGAGAGAGGGGGGGGGGGGTGGCTGCCTTATTTTGAGTAATGGGACAAAGTTGATTTTTTCCTTTCCCTATGCACCCCCGATAGATAACGCACAAACACTCCACATAATTATGCAAACAACTCTTGATCGGGCAGCCGAGCTGGTTTGCTTAAACATTTCGAAATGGCACCTTATCATCAAATGGTGCCCTTGAAACTAGTCAATTGATGATCCAACTTCAGTCTATATACGGCCCAAGGAGTCGGGAACTTCCTGGTAACTTTTCCGTTGTCAAGTTGATCTGTACCTTGTGTATGATAAAATTGTATTTGAAGGGAGTTGTTGTCGACATACATCTGACCAAGGAGTAATTACATTTGATCTGACATCATGTTCATTGTTCATACGCACCATAAGGCATCATAAGGCTCGTATTAACAAAACACTACGTTACTTTTCCTTATAACAATGCCTTTCTAAAAAAAGAGCATGTTCGATGTCTTCAAGTATACCCAACCCCCCCCCCCCAAAAAAAGGCATCTATTTTACACCTCTGTGTATAATTATGATCTAGACCACAAAATGTTTAGACGCTATCCCATATTTATAAGTACAGAAAACAAAAGAAATTGTGTGCTTCGTGCTTACTTATTTACAACTTTAATTATTTACCTTGGATTTTTGCGTGGATACAAATATTTTGAATACACGCTTACATTATTGAAATATAATTCCTCTCAGTACAAATGCATATACAAGTACACGTTTTTATCAACTTTTTGTAATGGACACACACCATGTTGAAGAGAATACAATGTAGTTTCACTGTTCTTTCATGAAATTTCTAATAATGTAGGCTATACTTTAATACATTTTCCATTCATAATTCTCACAAGCAAACAGAACTGAGGATTCATAGATGTCTTCTTAAATATTTTATCCCTTGCCTCTTGTGCTCCAAGGTCGCAAAAGACGCAAAACCATAAAATTGCGATATCGTTTCAAATGCCATGACTGTGAAACGATTTAGAAAATTTAAGAAGGATTCCTTCTATTCTAGACGAAAAACTCAAATTAGCCTATTATTTTCTACCTTTTTAACAATACACGTTGAAACATTTTTATGGTCCAAAGAATGAGTAATAGCATTGTTGATGACAATGCATGATAAAAACTAAAATAATAATTAAAGGAGTACCAGTAATTGGTGATACGTAGGAGAGTACATATATATATATTTTTTCAAATACAAATTCTGCGTTTCTGATATAAAATCATTATTGTTATATTGTGAATGACGAATTAACGCGTACTCAATAACTCTGCGTAGAAATACAGATTATACTGTTTCGAAAGATAAATAAATTGTCATTGGATATGGTTATTGAGAAGCGAAATCTAAGCTAAGTCAAAGGATATACGATTAATTCAAAACAGCGTTACATAAATTATGAACAAATATATACTATCATAGCCATGATAGAGCAAACAGCTCGTTACTGATGCTTTTTTATGTTCATATCAAAGTAATGAGCAATATTTACAATAATTGCATAAAGATTGTTTACTTGTATTATTATGATACTCAGAATAATTTATCATGTAAGTGCTTTTGTAAAATTCATTTGTACAATTCAGCCCCCGAGCTACGATGCATATTACCATTATTATCATAAGACATTATTTATTTTCTAGATTATAAATCGAACATCGTATTTAAGTCATCGATAAGTGCAGCACGATCTTAGAGATTTTCGAGAAAAAAAAATCAATATCAATAGCCTTGTGCAACATAAACTGAACGAACACTGCAACTGAACGAACTGAACGAACACTGCAATGACATGTTACATTATTTTAACAAGATTTCTGTAGGCAAACGATAGGCTACTGAACTTACCCTTTAGTCGATTTCTTGACAGTCTCTACAATCGTGTTTTAGGTAATACTTTTAGGTTACCAGCAAGCAATCAATGACTGACTTTTAAAGTAAGCAGAGGCTATGCAATTCCTTCTACCTTGCAGAATCGGCATAAAGTAGACAATTGAAATGATAACAGATTCATTAGATTACACTTTTTACAGTACAAGGTATTCTAAAACCCCGTCTTAACCGGAAAATACAGTCGTGGTGTCGTCCGGATGACATTTACCCCCTTCCTGTTAAAACCCCGTCTTAACCGGAAAATAAAGTCGCGGTGTCGTCCGGACGTTGTCCAGATTTCATTTACCCCCTTTCTGTTACGCGTCAATCGGTTTAACGTCCGGACAATATCGAGGTGACATCGAGGTAAATCTCACCCTAGTCGGGCCAGGGTGATATCGCGGTGACGTCCAAACGTTGTCCGGATGACATCCTGATAAGCGGCCTTTTAAGACGCGCGCGGAACTCTACCCGGGTAGATGACGCGAGGGCCGTGAAAAAATGCATACATGAACACAGCGCGCGCCAGCTGATCGCGACGAGGCAGGCGAGGTTGTTATGGTAACCTACCCGGGTGAGGTTTTTGCGGATGGCTGGTTAAAGGTACTATGTCCCTTTTGCAGCCAATCTCAAATTCTGTAGAACTTTGCAGGAATTATTAATATGTCACTTATGTCCTATCTGTGAAATTTGAACGTTAGCAGTGTCCTAATATTCAAATTATGCAAGGAAACCCGTTTACTTGCTAGACTTCACTGTCAGACACTATTGAGTGATTGACTGGCTTTTGTTTTCTTCTTTGGTAATAACAAATGAGCTGTAAAGGGTACATGAGCATATATGTCTACATCAATAACCCACTTCTTGTGATGGCCAAAATTAAACTGATTAACTATTTGAGCAGCATAAAACGTATGACCATTCGGTACAATGGTCTGAATATCAAGACTATGGGGGGGGGGGGGGGGGGGGGGGGGGGGGGGGGGTAAGAGGACATTTTTTTTTTTAATTTATTTTTTAATAATAATAACTAAAAGGGGGGTTTAACCCCCCCCCCCCCCCCCTGCGTCAGTCTATGTGAGGAGGGAGCTAGGTATTGGCGGTCTACACGTTCTCAGATTGGATTGGAAAACTTTCTGACAAATCTTTCACTCCATCGAGATTTATTTGAATAAAAGCAAAAAAAATGCATCAAAGGTATTAAACAAGGTTTTTTTTTTTCCTTTTAAATGCTCCTGTTCAGACAGCTGGAGCCAAACAGAAATAGAATCATAAATGAACTTGAGTTGTCATCGCAAACATTATGACACAAGTTTGCAAGTGAAAGGGTGACAGTCTACATTTACGTATACACAACTATTCCCTTGCCCAGGCGCGTACGCAGGGGGGTGGGGGGGGGGGGGGGGTTGGGGTTAAACCCCCCTTGAGTTTTTTTCATGTGTATGTTTTGTGTATTTGTTTTGTGAAACCCGCCCCCCCCCCCTTTTGAATGTTTTTTTTTTTTTTTTTTTTTTATAAAAAAAATAAAATAAATACAAATAAAAAAAATGATGCCAATGGCTGACCTAAAAAAAGGGTCCGCTTACCACCCCCTCCCCCCCCCCCAACTGAGCGACTTTTCCGGCTGGCTGAGTCGTTGCGATTTTTGTTTGGGGGACTCCAAAAAAAAAAAAAAAGTGTCCGCTTACCCCCCCCCCCCCGATTTTCAAATTTTCGGGAGCAAGCCCGATTTTAAAATCCCCCCTTCGAAAAAATCCTGCGTACGCCACTGCCCTTGCCCTTTCACATTGGATGTCCAGCTAGCCTGTTCTGCGCTATAGCTCAGCTCAGTTTATAAATGAAAATGGTTCCGGAGAAAAACTCACATAATACACAGCCCACTCGTTCTAACCAGGGTCACCCCTGGGAGGGGCTTTAAGTGGTATAAATACCGAAGCCAATCCGCTCCTCAGACATTCGAAGTCAGCGCGCACTCATCTTCTCATCAAAGATTGCAGAAGGTCTTTTACAGAGCTTCACTTCCAAAGTAATTGTTAAAACAATTCTCCCAGCTTCTATCAACTCACTTTTCAAGATGAAGCCGTTCTTTGTAATCACTCTAGTTCTATTTTCATGTCTGTGTCTTGTTGGAGTCACCCAAGCCGTTGCTGTTTCAAAGGAAGGTACGCAAGAGGAAGGTGAGTTTTCCGGGCAGGTTTTATTTATGTTATATATCATTATGCTACTTATCACTGTAAACAAACTTTGATGTCTTGTACACAATTGCCAAAATGGGGTAGATATCCTCTTAAATAACAACATCATTGAGGTTTATTTTGAAAAGTGTTAAGGGGATTTTATTTCCCAACCAACGTCATCTTGGCAAGAAATAATAAACTTGATTTAATCGATAACTTTGATCCACAAGAGCATTGTTTGGTGAACCATTTCAAATCTGTCTGTATCAGTTTCGATTGGCTAATCGCAAGTTTCTAGTTTAAGCAAGAGACATAATATTATTGATAATCATAATAAGTTCTTGAACAAAATATCTTCTAGTCAGCTGCTTGTATTGTTGATATAGTTGATACTAAGTTACTCATTCTGATTCTACGTAAATGTAAACTTACGTAATTATTATAATTTTCGTTGATACTTTTTCTTCCTTGTTTTATCTGTTATAAGGAATACGGTTGAACTAATAATACATGTATGATAAAGATGATAACATTTACAATATTGTACGAAGTACAAGGTAAACAAGATCTGGGTCAAAATGTTCCAAAAAAATAATCACTTTCTCCCTAAAATGGAAATATGTTATTACCAGAAATTGTTTTTATTCTCTCGCTCTCTCTCTCTCTCTCTCTCTTCTCGCATGTAGCTTTTGACCCTGAAAACATTCTAGATTCAGGCAAACTGATCCAAACAGAAGAGGATAAAATCTCCGAAATTAGAAACCAAGTATTGTTCCTTCAGGTATGTACACGTATTGAAAATTATACACATTTGCATTCCAAATAACTTGTATGAAAACCCACTAAAGTAAGGCCACATGTGAAACGCGCACATACGCAAAAGCGGGGGGGGGGGGGGGGGGGGGGAGGGGGAGGGGTTAACACCCCGATCGCCAATGTTCCCTGTTGGACACGAGGTGTCATTCGATTGTGCAAGTACCCCAACTAAACAATCATGTGAATGCAATGAGTATAGCGAATTCAATACGATGTGTTTACTGTTAATTTTGCATTAATGGCCATGAAGTGCACTCCAAAAATAGTTTGATTTTAATACCGTAGATGCAGAAAAACAAAAGAAACAGAGGACACAAACATTGGGTAAAATCGGATAACTAATATGGAAGTTGTGTTCCTTTTTTTAAAGTATGACCAACTATGAAACTTAAAAAATCACTACACTAAATGCCAATTTGGTTATTAGTTTGTGACGTCATTGCCACTATTCATCGATTGCTTTATATATTTTTATCCCATTAATGTCCCTTTTTATCCCCCAAAACTTGATTTGCCCATGCCTTTACCCAGGTTATATAATTTGTATCACATTGCGTACATGGCATTTCACAAATTATTTTACGAACTTTAAAGTATTTATACTATTTTCTGAATATTCATAATCATTGGTTTTTGTATAAATAGTTCATTTCACGATTTAACTAAAACAAGATTACTCTATATTATTGCATCTACACAAAAACATATTATTATCAATATAACTTGGTTGCTGGTGGGTGGAACTAAGATTTTTAGGGGAAAAATTGGAAATTTATATCATCAATATAAAGAAATCAATTGGTAAATAGTGAGGCAATGACGTCACGGACTCATGAGTGAGTTGCCAATTTATCTTGTGATTTTCAAAGTTTTTCATGTCATTAAAATTAATAACTTTCTTATTAGTTATCCGATTTTGCTCAAACTTATTTTGATTATTTTGGCCGATTTTTCTGCTTGTATTGAAATTAAGTTATTTTTGGAGTGAACTTGCCCTTAAAGTAGTTCCCACCTCATATGGCACCTAAACGATGCACGCCAGTCGCTACCCGTAGTCCGACCGTGTCTTAATGTTTTGGTCCTAAGTCAGTCGAGTTAGTCCACTAATTCCTTAAACATCAAGGATCAACCTTTTACACATTTGAAACGTGTCACATTTCAAAATGGAAATGGAAAATCAATTTCGTCAAAGAATGAATATCTCAATTTCGTTTCACGACTCAATGGATGAGAATCTAAGTTTGCATGATAATTATAATGCATTATGATTTCAAGTGGGACATCTCTCTCTTTCGATTCGTAAAAGAATGTTTAATCTTATATCATTTTTAACAGATTTTAGGGATTATTTTTTACAAATATTGTAATCTTATAATTCACTTTTAGACCACATTTTAGAAATCGTCTTTTTATATATTGATTACAATCTTCAAAATCTACTAGTTCTACTCGAAGGCGGTCAGAAGGCGGTCGAGTAGTATTAGTAGATTTATGAACGTGTTTTGTGCCAAAAATGCCAATGGTCTACCGGCCACATGTCGTAGGGTTGGAAGGAATGTTTCACCGGCAAACAATTTCATATCAGTTTTGAAGAGTACCTTCATTGCTCTCCCTTAATAACAGAAAATGATATCAAGGGTATGTATCAGTAATTTTCTTTTAACAATTTCTTTTAACAATTTTAACAACTAAAAAATCATGTAGGAATCCGTTGCTGAGATCACCCGTTCCTTCTCAACTCTCGAACTCGTCGCGAAGAATCCATCAATGATGGCAAAGATTCACATTGCTGACTCTCCCGAGACCGAGCTTGAGCTAGGAGAACCTGAAAAGATACGACGTCGAAGGCACGTCGACTCGCAATCGACATCGTTCTCATCATCTGGTGCCGAGCAGATTAGCCTAGGTCAGAACCAATCCGGACCATACTCATGGCCAATGTATTCTGGTAAGAGCACCAGGGCCCTATTGCATCAAACTTGCAATCCTTAACAGATGCTAACATTCTATGACAAATTTCCTCTCGGTCAATCAAATGCCAATATTTCAGTGTAGATATTAAAGTGGGACTGCACTACTTGTAACTACTTGCGCCTTCTTTATATAGCCAACAATGCCTTGTATGTAAGCGGTACCCGTTGATCCCCATGGTCCCCTTTTTCATATGTTAATTCAGAGCTGATTTGATGAGATAACCACCTGCCAGTGAACACCCAGGAAGGTCTAATCCCTCCTGGCTAAACTAGTGCAGATGGGCTTCAATAGTTATTGTAACTAGTTATTGATAACATTCTTATGAAACAGACACGATGCAGATATTTCTTGATTTCTCTAATGTCCATCGCACACGAAGGCCTACCTATGAAGAAAATTAGTGCGTGCACCAGGAAGTCAAGTGTTCATAAAATTGCACGAATTACCTTTCGAATGATGGTACTCTCACCAGCCATGTCAAAAAAGAACTATAGACCCCGCAAGTTGCTTGCGTATATAATTCTATATACTTCAGCAAATAATGTATCGTTTGCAATGGGCATTGGACACCTTATAGGCCTTGAGGCGCATTATTACCAAGTATGTAGCAATCAGGAAATCGACCTCAAAATGTCCAAAATCAAATCGGAAACAGGGCAATACTGGTAAACTGGTAAACTGTACGTCATGAAAGACGTTAAAATACGGGCGTTGCTGCTTCCTTGTTTGGCGTTCAACAATAAAGGATAGAGCAACGCCGATCTAGCGCTGCTCAGTGGCTGCCGGGCTCATGCACGATCAATTGGGCAAAAAGAATATCCTTTTTCGGTTTAACTTAATAAAATTTGGAGTGGACTTTAAAAGATTATTATTATTATCATTATTATTATCTTTAAAGCTAACAGATGCGTTATCTAGAAGAAAAGAGAAAAATAGAGAGCCCTGAATGCACAAATAAATTCCAGAGCTATAAGTCATGTTGTTTGACCACGTTAGGCCATTCAAAGTCCGAAAATAGGAGACATAAAATATTCGAAACTTAAAGATCTATGCGTCACCTAGAACATATAAGAAATTATCAATGGAACATGTGACGTATAGGCCTTTATCATCCAGGTTGAGAATAACCTACAGAGAGAGCTACTTTGCTTGAAATATAATCTTATACAGGCAGAAGTGTTTAAGATCTGATCATTAAACTTGACAAGAAATAACTATGATGTTTCTTCTTTAGGTCAATGTTTCTTGTGTCCTGCTGGTGTTCCTGGACAAAGAGGTCCCTCAGGCCCACAGGGGGTTGCCGGAAGGGACGGCAGAGACAGACGGGATGCACCGACAGATTCCCAAGGTAGGCCTATAATGACATCAATCTGACTCGATATGGCACGACCGCAGAGGTTGTAGAACATTTATAATTGTGACATTGTAATAATTCAAGCCGGAGAATGCAGGGTTAGCGAAATGAAATTAAAGTTTGGAAAACACTTCGGATACTGTAACTTCTGTGTCCTTTCTGGCCAATTACACAATGAAGAGATACCAGAAACCTTTATTAGAAAATATAATATGAGGTCGCATAACCTAAGATTACAAACTTCTAGAATAAAAATTAATGAAACTTCTGAATTAAATGTTTGAAATTTTAGCTCGAGAAACATCTACTTCACCCAGCGACGAAACAAACCCAACTGAATCCGGAGGTAGTGCGGTAGTGCCTCCAGTAGGCAGTGGCGTACCTACGGGGGGGGCAGGGGGGGCAGTCTGCCCCCCCTGACGAGTGACAAGCAACAAAAACCAACACAAAGTCATCATCACCATGGCTGAAAGGTCTGATTGACAGGCAAAAAAATGAAAATACATATAAAAACGGTAATCACTAAGTCTATCACAAGCAAACACCAAATTGACGGAGGGGAGGGGGGGGGGGAGGGGTTGCATCATTTTGCATAAACTATATACTTCAGGCTTCATACGTAGTACGCCAGCACGAGATCGTCGATTGCTAGTACATCGACCTGCTTACAGACGCCTATGAATGTTATGAGCACGGGGCCTAGGCTAGGCTGCGCCGCCCCTCCCCCGGTCAGGCGCGGCGCGCTAGGGTTCGTAGGCCGGCCGCTGGCCTGCCACGTGTATTCTAGCGCATTATAGCGCCACCACGAGCCAGCGCCATGGCATGCTGATTTGTCCAACGATCTTAAGTAGATCTGAAATGGCACCAAAGAAAGTCAAAAAGGTAAGCATGATCATTCATTTTTTAATATCAGGGTATTTTTAATCAAGATTTTGTAGATAACATAAACCTAATGAAAACGTACAGCTGAGTATGTCGGCTGTCGGGTGATGTAGGCTTAACTCTTTGATGGGACGGGACCTCCTTAGGAGCATCTCGGGGCCCCGGGCGGGTACGGGTACGGGTAGAGGCGTTGCCCGAGCTAGGTCATGCAGATGCTGATATTTGTGACAGTAGACTCTAATCATTTTAGTCTAGCTTGCATACATTAATGTAATGTTCTGGTTTAACAAAGACTGGGTGACACAAGACCTAATTAGGACATGGTTATATCCGAAATCATGTGGATGAATGCCAGCCCTTCTACTTTTTCAGCCTCTAAGATTCGACAACTAATAGTCGTTATTTTCCCACTTAAAGACTTTTTCAAGCCCACTTTTTTTTTAGGGAAGTTCTAAATTAGCATCGTCTTTCAAATGCCGTTGGAAACTTGGAATTTAACCTTTTCATTTTGTGGGCCTGCAAATTGGACATAGTACCTTTAAATAGTAAGGTGACTCTGCTAACAAAATCATAAGATAAGGACAACTTTTCAGTTTGATTTCAGATCATGAAAGGAAGAATAGTGAAATCCATTAATTGTTTTTTTTTTATACAGGGCTTGGCCACCTTGAAATCAAAACATCGTGATTTTGACTGCAACTTATCGAGTGCAAAACGTTGCAAATTGAGGGTGTCAGGAGGTAAGATTTTTATTTCCTTGCACATCTAACTTCTAAGTTGAAACATGAATAGGCCTACTATTACTTTAAATTACAGTAATAATATGCTGTATGTGGGTGAGTGTGTGTATGTGTGACACAAAAGTGTTGAGCATCTCAGTTAAACGTTTTCTGGTTAAAGATAGAGGCCATGCATGGATGGAGTCAAAACTGGTTTAGGTCTTGGTCTGTGTCACATGTACAAAGTCTGTAAAAGACTTTTTTTTTATCCTGATGCCTTGTGAGTCACATAGTGACTCAAATCTGCTGGCCTCGACTCCATCACTGATAAAGGCATGCATTATTTTGAATTTCTGTAAATAGAACCAATGCAAATATGTAATATTTTTTCAAATCTTTAATCCAATATTACAGGCAGTCATCATGGTCGGCTCATATCAAATGCAGCCAAATGTGGTTTACGGATAAGGCGAGAAGTTCCTGGTGATGGGAATTGCTTCTTCCATGTGCTCTTAGACCAGTTACAAAGGGTTGGCATCAAATGTCAAGCAAACCAAAAAGAACTTAGAGAGGAGATATGTGAACACATGGAAAACAGTGTGAGTTTAATATAAATTTATCTTCAATTAGCTTCTGTTTTTTTAATTTTTTATTCAAGTACATGTATGTGATCAAGTAAAGGTGGAATAATGAATTTACAACCCAATTATATTAATAATAAAGTATCCAGAAAGTAAATACCATTGTAATTCAAGAGTTCTATTTGTTGATGGTGATGGAAATGTGACTCAGAAGTCAGAAATAAGCATTTTATTTTTAATTTTTACAATTTCAAATAAGGTTTGTACATTCTTTTCATATTTTTCTTTCAAAACTGAAAAACAAAAATAAAACAACACAAAACGAAAAACATGTAAATGTGTTAAAATGTAGAATAATACACAACAGATAGTTTGTCCAGGACAAGTTCAGTGAATGGTTTTGTATACCTTTTTGCAGGCAAATTAAAATATCCACAAAAATATCTGTATCATATGTTTTGCTCGTTTGTGTATGTTTCACTTAGGCTTCTAAAGACATGGCAGTGATGGCACACATAGTGACTCCTGATTATATTCAGGAAATGAGGAAGGATGGGACGTGGGGAGGAGAACCTGAAATCATTGCATGTGCCAACAAGTATAGAGTGAACATCAATGTAATAACAAGCGCAGAAGGAAGCACCGAAGCAGGGTTTATAATGCACAAGTACAAGGCAACAGGAGAAGAGGCAAATGCTGAACTGATGACGTTGTATTTTGGACATGTGTTTGAACAACACTATGTAAGCCTAGGTAAGAACTATCAATAATCCAATATGACTTTAACCCTTAATTATACCTTATGAGATTTAGCATACCACTTTCAGAGGATAGCATTCTCTGCTCTCTCCTAAGCATGTCTAGGACAGAAACTGTTCTCATATTCACAGCTTAGATATAAATTTGGTTGTGTCTTCAAAAACAAAAACAAAACAAAAAAATCCCTTGATTGTTTAAGATGATATTGATGCAGAATTGATTTCATGCATGTACTGGCCTATTGATAAAATGGAAGGCCAAAGGTTCTTGAATATAAATTGGCATTTTTCTTCTATCAGAAAGTAAAGTTGCAGAAGATTTATTAAGTGTTTGTACACATAGCTTATGATGACAATAACAATAATAAAAATAATAATAAACCATTCTTATAAAGCTCATACTACTACTGATATTAAAAAATTATACTAAAAAGAAGAAGAATGATAATAACAACAGTGACTTTAATATATCAATACAAATTATAATGATAATGATAATAATAATACAAAAAGAAGATTTATTTAGCCAGGGTAGTTCATTTATTCATTATGTGAATGTTCTTGTTTTGACTGTATGATCTGCATCATAATGGAGCTTCTTTATAGTATTTTCATAGCACACTCATATTTTTGAAAATAAGAAAAGTATATATTGTTATTCCCAAATATTGTCCAATATGTATCTACCCAGCTCATCCATTTCCTACAATGTCTAACCTCCTCTCTCCCACCCCCTCCCCCCCAGAACCAGTTGAAGCAAGTTCAACCTTGAATACTACATCAGAAACAACAGAAACGCCAAGTTCATCTAGTGCCCGAAACCCGAGTGAAAATCATCCATCTAAAAAGAAATTTCACCAAAGTAGTTTAATGGATTTGTTCCTCAGCCAACGAAGAGGGTCAAACCAAGGTATGTCATGGTCAATCAGCAGAGATGTCAACCACTAAACAAGTACAATTTTATCGTATTTAGTACAATAAAAAAAAGTGAAGTACGATAATACGATATCGCCTCTTGAAAATACGACTTTTCATCTTTCAAAAAAATATATATATATATCAACCGCGGAATCCCATAGAAACATGTACAAGTAAACCCCTGCATGCCCAACAAAAACGTTGAACAGTTATGGTGCGATCAAACCTTTCTTGCTTTTTGTTTTTATTTCATTCAGTTCAGTGTAAATGCTCGAACCAATGTTCCCAATTTATTACCAAGGTACAGTAAATCAAATTGCACCAAAGGGTAGAAAGAGGACTGGCAGAAGGTTGAAAAGATCTAAGCAAGGTCCTAATCATTGCGATAATGTATTGAAATAATAAAAATAACAGAAATGGCATAACTGACTTCCTTTTATTTACATTTTTTTTTCAATTTTATTTTTAGGATGCAAACCAGATGCTCCTCATGTTTCACTTGACAATGACGAGGGTACAAGTGAAAGGCCCAATGCTGAAGAAGATGATAATGCTGTATCTACTCAACCAGATCATGAAGGTGAACAGAATTGAAAATCTTATTTTCTGTCCTGATAGTTGTATATATTATGTATAAATATATATTATGTATAAATATATATACATTGTTTTCTTTCTTTTATATATTTATATTTCCTCTTTTATATATTCAGCCATTTATCCTAATTTAATTACAAAATAAGTTCTTTCATTACTTTATATTCATCTATTAATGGCTAAGTGCAATATGCATTAAATTGGGAAACAAATTAAAATAAATCTAGCAAGTGTTTTGATTAATTGAGTGAGATATTCCACTCAAAATTGCCATATGTTTAGTTGCTCAGACAAAGATTGAGGAGGAGGGGGGGGGGGTTACTAGGGCAACTTTGGGATGACAGGAGAGAAAGGGAGAGAGAAAGAAACACTAGAAAACGGGGGGGGCAGTATCCCTAAAGAAATAGAAATACTGTGTAATTATTCATTGTAAATTCCACCTCTTTTTTAAACTGCAGAATATAAGCCTGGTAGTCCTGATACTCCATGTGTTTCACTGGATGACGATGACGATGAAGCTGAAGATGATAATGCTGTATCTACTCAACCAGATCATGAAGGTGAACAAAATTGAAAATCTTATTTTCTGTCCTGATAGTTGTATATATTATGTATAAATATATATTATGTATAAATATATATACATTGTTTTCTTTCTTTTATATATTTATATTTCCTCTTTTATATATTCAGCCATTTATCCTAATTTGATTACAAAATAAGTTCTTTCATTACTTAATATTCATCTATTAATGGCTAAGTGCAATATGCATTAAATTGGGAAACAAATCAAAATAAATCTAGCAAGTGTTTTGATTAATTGAGTGAGATATTCCACTCAAAATTGCCATATGTTTAGTTGCTCAGACAGAGATTGGGGAGGGGAGGGGGGGGGGGGGGGGGGGTTATACTAGGGCAACTTTGGGAGGACAGGAGAGAAAGAAACAGTAGAAAACGGGGGGGGGGCAGTATCCCTAAGGAAATAGAAATACTGTGTAAATATTTATTGTAAATTCCACCTCTTTTTTAAACTGCAGAATATAAGCCTGGTAGTCCTGATACTCCATGTGTTTCACTGGATGACGATGACGATGAAGCTGAAGATGATAATGCTGTATCTCATGAAGAAAGGTCAAACAATGAGGAATCTCATGTCAGGGATACAATTAATGTAGGACAGGTTCCTGTACCTACATCGGACAACAATGCTTTCAATCGCTTTCCAAACGATCCAAAACATTTTTCAGGAGTAAGCATAACACCCAACGTAGTTAGACAGATTCTAGAAATGGGACCTTGCCAGCCTAACTTTGATGCCAATGACGAATTTTCTTTTCCTCGGAAACATGGTAGAGGCTTTCGCCGAGAGTGGTACTTTAGACACTTAAAGGATGAAAAGAAGAAAGTCCCTCGAAAGTGGCTCATATATTCTCCCTCGAGAGACTCCTTGTTCTGTTTATCATGTTGGCTCTTTGCAGACAGACACAAGAAAAATTATGACCCAACATGGAGCAAAGTAAGTGGATCCGGCTTTTCGAATTGGAAAAAGGCAACTCTACGAATTGAACAGCATGAACAATCTTCACTTCACATGGAAGCAGAGGGTCAGCTGTCACTTACCCGACTGAGACTTGACAAAGGCAAAGCAGTTGATGCTGAGCAAGTGAGGGCACATGAATGTCAGGTGCAGAAAAATCGGAAAGTACTTTCTAGGCTAGTTGATGTTACACTATTTTTGGCCAAACAGAATTTAGCTTTCCGGGGACATCGTGAGAATATGAGATCTGCTGAAACAGAACGCAACGATGGCAACTTTTTAGAACTTGTGCGATTAATCAGCAAATATGACAGTGTATTAGCTGCTCATTTATCTGAGCAAAGAAGTCATTCAATGTACCTCAGTCCACGAATACAGAATGAGCTCATACAATGCCTGCGGAATTCAGTAGAAAGTGTCATAATGGAGGAAGTACATGAGGCGGGATGCTTTACCATCATAGCAGATTCTGCTATTGACATATCTCACACGGACTTACTTTCTGTAACCCTTCGTTACGTTACTTCTGACGGAGATGTTGTTGAGAGATTCATTTGCTTTCAAGAACTACCTTCTACAAAATCATCCGTTCTGTTTGAGCAAATAAACGAATTTGCAAAGAAGCGTAACATTTCACTCAAAGATTGTGTTGGACAAGCCTACGACGGGGCAGCAAACATGTCTGGTTCACTATCTGGCCTTCAGCAAAGAATAAAAGAAGTCAGTAACAATGCACTCTATGTGCACTGTTGTGCACATAACCTCAATCTTGTGATAAGTAATGCTGCATGTGTCTCTCCAGTTGCCAAGGATTTCTTTGGAATCCTTGAAAAACTGTATGTGTTTCTGACTAATAGCCATCCTCGTCTCGAGAAATTCAAGGAAGCCAAAAGAAAATTGTCAAAGGAGGTGCAAGACATCCAGTTAAAACGACTAGTTGACACACGCTGGTCTTGCAGAATTGAGTCTGTTCGTGCTGTCAAGGCAACATATCCAGCCATTCTTGACACATTAGAAGACATCGAAGAAAGTGAGGGCAAACCCACGGAGGCTGCAGAAGCAAGGGGTCTCATCAATGCTCTTAGCAAAGTAGATTTTCTTCTTCTGATGAATATGTGGGAGGAGCTGCTTTCAACTACGGATTCCCTGTCAAAATACCTCCAATCTTCAAAAATTGACTTGATCAGTGCTGGAGGTGTTATCACGGCAACATCAGAAGCAATTGGAAAAAATCGGACTGAGGAACACTTTGAGGAATTGTACCGTAAAGCAAGAGTAGAAGCAGAGAAACAAGAAATTGATCCAGATCTAACTACTGTACGACAAAGAAAACGGAAGGTTCTTTCAGGGGAACAAGCTGAAGATCAGCCGATTAATGATCCTGTTTCCAGATTTCGAGTAGAAGTCTTTTACAAGGTATATGACTCTGTTTTGCAGCAATTCAAAGACCGGTTTTCAGATTTCATGGAAACGGTCAGAGATTTTTCTGCGTTAATGCCAGAACATTTCAATGACCTCAATGCCGAAAGAAGAGTCAAGAAGCTGGCTGAGAAGTACAAAGATGTAGTCGACACGGAACAACTCATGGCTGAATACAGGACTTTCCGCCCTCTGGTTCAGAACACTGACGTGTTTGACAACAATGATATCTATGTGAAAACAATTAATGGATTGTTGAAGTTCCTAATCAAGAATTCCCTTGAGAGTGCATATCCAAATTTAACCAAACTGTACAGAATTATTGCTACATTGCCCATTTCCTCAGCTACTGCAGAGCGATCTTTTAGCAGAGTGAAAATAATCAAATCATATCTGCGTTCTACAATGAAGGAAGAAAGGTTGTCAGGTTTGGCAATTATTAGCATAGAGAAAGAAATTGCCTGTAGTGTAGACTATTCAGATGTAATTGATCACTTTGCTAGGATGCACCGGAGACGCATAGACTTTATTTAGGGTAGAACAGTATGAATGTGTTGAAATTCCATGTATATTCTGGCCATAACAGTGCAGGAGTTTTTCACCCAATCATGCACATATTTGGCTCAATTTGTGTGGAAAGATACTATTTTTTCAAAATTAGTTGCGATTTTTCATTTTCTTTCAGTTCACAACAATTCAATTCAAAGTACAAAATGCTGCTGAGTGGAGGTGCAATATACAAGGAATAACATATACCCATAAATCATTATTTTAGATTGTATTATAGCCTCTCATTTCCACCGGACAGTCTCTGCTTCGACTTTTTTTTAAATTTTGATCTCTTTTATATTATAGGGGAATTCCACCCGATATTAATTTGACTTTAATAAATAGAGTAGAATTAAACAAAACAATGAAAACAACATCAAAATCAGATAAGACATAAGAAAGTGACAGCATTTTAAGTCATGCAAAGTTGGAAACGGTGTCAAACATAAAATTGGCTCTATGCAAGAGTTAGTGGATGAGAAAATCACCTCACTTTCCCATTTTTACTCCTCATGGATTATGAAAAATCATTGTTGTATTTAATGTAATACAAGGGAAAGATTCTTTATTTACAAATATCATATCTATGGAAATTGACTTGGACAGGTAACAACCTGCCCCTTGCTCTAGCCATAGTTTTTGTCACAAACTACAAGGTAAATTTTATTGTACATGACAACCAACCTCAGTGTGTCAATCTTTTGCAAGCCTAATAATTGGAAATATCTTAAGAGAGTGTTATGTTGAAGCGATTACAATTCATGAAGCTGTGTGAAAGAATTGGGTTTGGACACTTGTGTACTGTAAGTGGATTTTTATGACTGTTAAATTTAGATTTGTTCTAATTATTTTTCTGTTGTACCAGAAACTTATTTACTGGATGCATATCATTATTTCATGTCCATGTAGGGATGCATATTTTGAGAAATGACAACCAAGTGTGTAAGTTTTTGTTATTGCTGCTGCAAAAAACCACTTCTTGAGCTGGAATGGTTATTGAGGGCCCTAAAGCACTACCCTCAAGTCCATTACAATGTCAACACTCGAAACAGAGTGTAAATTTAAGCCTGAGACACAGACTATACACTCAATGATTAACAACTGTTTTTAGTCGTTTTTACAAACTCTACTATCCCACTTTCTTTTGAATTTACAGATAAAACATACATAATCTTGGTCGATATTTGAGATATTTGTTGCATGTTAAAGGGACACACAACCTTTATAAGTCTCTTCCACTTACCATTAGTAAGAACTAGTTGGATTTCTATTCATTGGTTGATAAAGGTCAAACATTGGATTTCTAAGGACAACTTATTGAAACAATATACTACTTTTGAAGACTGCTTGAAGATGAGTTTCAAAAGATTAATAAATTGTATAGTATACAATTTTATTGATGATGTCTGCTGAAATTGCTATGTTCATTTCAGTAGTTAGTTGCTTGTAATCATATATGTGTTTTATTATAGCTACGAGTGCTTACTATTCATTTGACCTATTTATTAACTTTCTTGCCAGAAACCTCAAACCTCTTCCACTTACCATTAGTAAGAACTAGTTGGATTTCTATTCATTGGTTTATAAAGGTCAAACATTGGATTTCTAAGGACAACTTATTGAAACAATATACTACTTTTGAAGACTGCTTGAAGATGAGTTTCAAAAGATTTATGAATTGTATAGCATACAATTTTATTGATGCTGTGTGCTGAAATTGCTATGTTCATTTCAGTAGTTAGTTGCTTGTAATCATATATGTGTTTTATTATAGCTACGAGTGCTTACTATTCATTTGACCTATTTATTAACTTTCTTGCCAGAAACCTCAAACCTCTTCCACTTACCATTAGTAAGAACTAGTTGGATTTCTATTCATTGGTTTATAAAGGTCAAACATTGGATTTCTAAGGACAACTTATTGAAACAATATACTACTTTTGAAGACTGCTTGAAGATGAGTTTCAAAAGATTTATGAATTGTATAGCATACAATTTTATTGATGCTGTGTGCTGAAATTGCTATGTTCATTTCAGTAGTTAGTTGCTTGTAATCATATATGTGTTTTATTATAGCTACGAGTGCTTACTATTCATTTGACCTATTTATTAACTTTCTTGCCAGAAACCTCAAACCTCTTCCACTTACCATTAGTAAGAACTAGTTGGATTTCTATTCATTGGTTGATAAAGGTCAAACATTGGATTTCTAAGGACAACTTATTGAAACAATCTACAACTTTTGAAGACTGCTTGAAGATGAGTTTCAAAAGATTAATAAATTGTATAGTATACAATTTTATTGATGATGTCTGCTGAAACTGCTTTGTTCATTTCAGTAATTAGTTGCTTGTAATCATATATGTGTTTTATTATAGCTACGAGTGCTTACTATTCATTTGACCTATTTATTAACTTTCTTGCCAGAAACCTCAAACCTCTTCCACTTACCATTAGTAAGAACTAGTTGGATTTCTATTCATTGGTTTATAAAGGTCAAACATTGGATTTCTAAGGACAACTTATTGAAACAATATACTACTTTTGAAGACTGCTTGAAGATGAGTTTCAAAAGATTTATGAATTGTATAGTATACAATTTTATTGATGCTGTGTGCTGAAATTGCTATGTTCATTTCAGTAATTAGTTGCTTGTAATCATATATGTGTTTTATTATAGCTACGAGTGCTTACTATTCATTTGACCTATTTATTAACTTTCTTGCCAGAAACCTCAAACCTCTTCCACTTACCATTAGTAAGAACTAGTTGGATTTCTATGCATTGGTTTATAAAGGTCAAACATTGGATTTCTAAGGACAACTTATTGAAACAATATACTACTTTTGAAGACTGGTTGAAGATGAGTTTCAAAAGATTAATAAATTGTATAGTATACAATTTTATTGATGATGTCTGCTGAAACTGCTTTGTTCATTTAACAAGTATCCTGTAATCAAGTTTCAGAGTGCTTTCTGTTTGTTTGTTTTGATCTGCTATTAACCTCCTTGCCAAAATCCTCAAATTTCCCTAGCTTTTCTTGTATCGTCTGACCTACAGCCAGTTATCATTTCTTCAGATATACAATTCTTCAACATTCCTCTGCTTATTTCCACCTTTTCTACCTTATGTACCCTATCTCTCTGTACCCTATCTTTCTCCAATGTCATTTTCCTCAACCTTCTGACATTCCTCCCAGTGAGTGATTTCTCTTATATCTAGTGATATATCATTTTACTGTTTCATTTTTTTCTTACTTTTAATTACTACATTTATTTTCAATGATTGAATAGATGCTTATTCTGAATATTTTTTTAAAGTTTTAATTGTGCATGTGGAAATGAAACAAATGCAAATCAATACAATTCCATTCATTGTCAAATACACTTGATTACATTTCCAAATATGCAGAATTGGGAACATAATATGTCAAAGCTTCTTCAAAGAGGAATAATAGAAGTACGTTAATAGAAGCATTGTCATTACCAGTGATAAGTTAACCACTGATTTTGTCGAAATTCAATACATTTAACATTTAAAAAAAAAGATAATTCCTTCTTTTAAATCAAAATAGACCAAAGATATAGAAACACCCGATTGCAAATACTAATATCAACAAAATCTCTACTGTGTTATTGGGACGCCCCCTATTACCCCTTCACCCATTTCCAGTTTTCCACAGCCACACATCATCCCCCCCCCCCCCCCTTGCTCGTCCAAATCGCTTGCCCCCCCTGACGAGCTATGCCAGGTACGCCACTGGAAGAAGAAGAGAAAGAAGAAAATGAAGGGAAAGAAGATGAGGAAGAAAAAAGAGGGGGAGAAGATTCATTTCAGCGACATTAGTGGTTATTTCCTCTTTGATCGAGGGATATACATGCACGTTACATACTTCGTGGTAAAAAGGAAGTAAGAGACGAAAAAGAAGAGAGTATGGCCCTAAATTATAATTAATCTCGGTACTGATGATAATTTTTTTGGCCATGTGGATGCTATGTAATGCTACAAAGAGTAAAGCAACATTTAACATATATTAACAATAATACATCAAATAGTACCACAGTGTTGTTTACCGTTGTTAAGAAATGTTTTGCTTGTACCTATTAGATCTTGCTGGTTCTAAGATTTTCTTCTGAATTGTTTTAAATTACAAGATCGAGCATGTGATCTTGATATACTGGATGCTAGCCGGAAATTTCTTTACAGCAATTGGAACTTCTCCCAGGAAGCCTAAAATTACAAAAAAAAAAAAAAAAAATCAAATAGCCTTGTAGAGACGACGAAAAGATAAGAATATTAATACACTGTCGCTAACCGTGAGAATATAAACTTCTCTCCCTCTCTGATAAATCACCCGAACAATGGAATTAACCAAATGGAATCACCCATAGAATGAACTATCATGATTCCTGAAAGGATCACCTCCCCAGGAGGTCTTATTACAAGATCGAACACGCGATCTTTAATAATCTAATGGCGGCAAGCCGTCGAATTCTTTTCAGCAATTAAAACCTCTCCCAGGAGGCCTAAAATAAAATAATAAATACAAGCATTCAAATAGCATTTTAGAGACGATGAAAAGATAAGAATATTAATAAACTATCCCCCTCTAACCCTTACCGAATAATGAAATGAACTGGGTGGAATCACCCATAAAATGAACTATCATGATTACTGAAAGGATCACCTCCCCCAGGAGGTCTTATTACAAGATCGAACACGCGATCTTTAATAATCTAATGGCGGCAAGCCGTCAAATTCTTTTCAGCAATTAAAACCTCTCCCAGGAGGCCTAAAATAAAATAATAAATACAAGAATTCAAATAGCATTTTAGAGACGATGGAAAGATAAGAATATTAATACACTGTCTTTAACCGTGAGAATATTCACTTATATCCCCTTCTAACCCTTACCGAATAATAAAATGAACTGGGTGGAATCACCGTAAAACAAAATATTATGATTTCTGAAAGGATTATTTTTCCCGGGCAGCCTAACCTTTAAAAAAACAAAATTCAAGTAGCCTTTTAGGGACGATTTAAAAATAATTACTAGAAATAAATTCGACATTCAAACGAATTAGGTAATACGTATCCTCATGTTTTACATAATGAGCAATCATTTTCACGATTTCATATCATCTTATAAAATGCTACTTCCATTTGATACATAATCTCTCTATTATGTCAATTAGTTTCAACTGTGTAGCATAGGTCATTATGGAGCTATGGAAGATAGATCGAGACAATATGACCATTGACCCTGTAAAATATTCAGTAACACTATTGACCCAAATTGACATAATGAAGAATGCATTTTCACAATTTCAGTTCAGTAAAGTTCAGTTTATTAAAAAACACATTAAATAGCAATAATGAGAACAAACATGATCCAAATTGAGACTCCCAAAAGCTATGCTTGCGAGTGGGCCCCTGGGAAGGATGGACTTCTCAATCCCGGCGGATTGGCAAAGAGACCAACGTGTTTCAAGGATCTGCGCAATTCAAAACATGATGGATAGTAGGATACGAAAATGAATACTATACAGTCTCACGCGCGCAGAGCCCCCGAAACAAGCAGGTCCCAGAGTCCGCTAACCGAGATCAAGAAGTTCATTTACAACAACATAAAACATATAATGTACTAAACAGATTACAAGGAATTGGCAAGGTTATGTAACTTCGACAAAATATTTACAAGGAAAAAGGCATGATATGAAAAACATGATTAAAAAAACACATCATAAAACAAAACATGATATTAAACAATAACTGATTACAAGGTAATATAACTTTAATACATATTTAGAAGGAAAAAAAGCTGAACCACTGACAACATCATGAACCCCCGTAACCCCACCCCCAGCCGTAAGCGGCATATCGTGCTGTACGCATCAAATTAACACACACAAACACACACACACACGCGCGCGCGCACGCACACACACGCACACACACACACACACACCCACACCCGCACACACACACGCGCACGCACCCAGGCTGACTGGCTACTCCTTGCTATTATATAGTACAGTCAGTAATAGCGGCAATCTATTACAATCTATCTTAGAGATATGATTTACACAAAAGTCTGAATGTAGTAAGCGTGGTACTGTCTGCGGGTATTAAACTGGTTCATATCTTTAATCCATATGATTCGAAAGGAGTTCAGTGCAACATTTGTCCTTACATGAGGTTGATGCACAAGGTTACTTTGACGTGTATTGTAGCTATGTATCTGGGAGTTACAGGAAAATAGGTCTTTTAACAGGCAAGCCTGAGGACAAAACTTAAAGGTAAAGACCAGTATTGGCAACGCCCCAATTTCAAAAAATGAAATGGAAGCTCTCATTACCAATCATGTGAAAGAATATGTTTTGACTAATACATGATGATAAAAAATTTGCCGGGAAACCGCCTACTAATTCATATATTTGGTAAATTTATTTCTCTCATGGTCTGGTGAGAGAGATAGGGTAGTCCCATATACATCTTTCTGTGTATAGTGCTTGTAACTTTACGAAGAATGAGCCAAATTTCTTATCATTTTGATGATTCCAGAACCTTGCAGATGCTAGATGCTAGATGATCGACCTTTTCTGATCGATTCCACAACGTTTCTTTCACAATGCAATCGCATGACCATTACTGGTCTTTACCTTTAAGTTTAAACACAAAATTCGTACTACTGAATGACACAAGCTCATCAAAAGGCAGCAATTTCATCTCAAGGAATAATGGCTTACTAGGCTTTCTGATGCAAGAGTTGGTAACAAGCGGAATAACTTTCTTTTGCAATGTTTTAAGTTTATCAATATACGTCTTAAAAGTGTTACCCCATGCAATATGTAAGGTAAGAGAGAAAAATACTGTTGTATAAAGTAAACAAAAAATTCTTAGCTAGGATAAATCTTAACCTACATATGACACCAATACTTGTGCATATAGAATCCAAAAGGGGTTTTCAAGACAAGAACTCATCTGTAATATCACCGAGGAAAACAGAAACTCATCAATAAAAATTACGCAGAAACTCAATAAACAGGGTATTTTTTTAGATTAGTTTCCGATTTGGTATTGTTGTCTTCTTTTAATACTTATTTTTTATATATAACTTTGAACAAAAATATTTTGAGGAAATATTTACAACGTGTTTGACTCAAATTGGCAAATATATTAAATTTTCTAAATCATTATGTTCATTCTTGATCAGTTACCATTGTAATAGCCTGAGTGGTCACATCCACTACAAACTTTAGGGCCAATGAGAACGTTCTGATAGGGAAGGGTCCTAAACAAACAGACAAAATTTCATTTAAGATTGTGTCTCAGGAGGGTGGTGCTTTTCAGTTTTGGGCCCATGGACTAATACTGCTAATATGTGGGAATTGCCATATACAGTATGTACAGTGTGTTTTCCACTAAAATGCGCATCCTGTAAAAAGACATAATTTCATTTGGAATAACAAAAAGACTTATTCATCACAATATCTGATCATTTCTATTCTGTGTGTGGCGTATATATTACTTCTTTAAAAAAGACAAATTGTTGAAATGGATAGCTTTATGGTGTGTACACAACTTTGGAATATAGTTTTTATAATCCCATATTATAGTAATGACTGTTATGAGAGACATAGTAAGCAAACTACCGTTGGTGAAGGTGATGGGACAAACTATCACTTCCGAGGCGATCTGGATGTAGCTATCTTTCCGAAGCGAAGCTGAGGAAAGATAGCGTATACATTCAGATCGCCGAGGAAGTGACAGTTTGCCATCGCCTGAAACCAAAAGGTGATTATTTGCTTTATATTCCACATCGGAAACATTTCACCTTTTCCGTCATTTTAGAGCAACAAGTCATCAATTAACAGCTATCAAACGGTGTACGATACGTACAGTGCATGTAGTATGGTGGTGTGACCATATTGTTCGCGCAGGGCCAAAGTTCGCGTACTAACACTAAAAGCGCTTAAAGATGACAGCAATACGCAGCGTATACAATTAAAGTGCGTTGCACTGTGTAGATAGGACTTCTATCTTCAGTGAAAGTGCGTTGCACTGTGTAGATAGTAGCCTATCTACACAGTGTAACACACTTTTTGCTTCTCCCAGCAATGATGGGCGAACTATCTTTCATCACGTGATTTACTTTCGACCAATCGTAGAGCAAGATTCTTAGTATGTGGAATATAATTGTTTTATACGCTCAAGGGGAGATGACATGATCGTGCTATCGCCCCGAGCCGTTCCGAGGGGTGACATCACGATCATGTAACCTCCCTGAGAGCATATAAAAACAACTATGCCTCGAATAGTAAAGCAGTCATATACCGAAAAGGGTCATAGAATACATGTGCGACTAACCAATCATGGTAATCAAGTTTGTGTACGCTACCGAGACCTGTATATTAAACAGGTTCATTACTTCAGACTAAAAATAAAAATTATAATAATGAAAAGGTCTAGTTCAGATAAAACCTGTTTGGTCCAAAAATAAATATCATGGTTTTAGACCTTTTTTCAAATTTTGAGCCCAAAATTACATTTTATTCTCTAGTATTTTTTTCAAATTCTATTTTAGCATGGATGCCCTGCATTGCCCTCCAAATACCTTGGGATCTTATTCTAAAGCCCTTGTTTATGTTTGCCAGTCTACTACTATGGGAGGGAACTATTAGAAGTTCCAGGATGTATCTGACCAATCAGAAGTGACTTCCAATGTCGCCACTCTTGGTAAATAGATAAGCTCTGGGATGTATAACACCCCGATCACCAATTACCCTAGCTAATCAAACCTGTGAAGGCAAAGATTATAGCGAATTCAACACGATACGTTAACTGTTAATTTTGCACTCAGTTGACGCCACCTCAAATGGCGTCTAAAATACCATGGCCGGTATCTGCACGCAGTCTGACTCGACTGCGTCCTATAGGCTACGCGACGCATTTTATGTTATATGGGCATAAATGAAGCGAGTTAGTCCGCTAAATGTACCGAACACCAAGCGTTAAAACGTGTCACATTTCAGAAATTAAAATGAAAAAGGAAAATCAATATCATTAAGCAATTAATTTTTCATGTTCGTTTCACGACTCAACGAGTGAAAATCTTACTTCCCTGGATGGATGGTTAACGTTAATCATTATGATTTCATGTGGAAAAACTCTCTCTTTTGTTTTCCAGAAAAACGTTTTAAGCTATATAATTTTTTTCTCTCGCATATTTTCATTACACATTATTTGAGAATTGTCCTTTATTCTACACCAAGCATGCGACTACAACTCTAATGCAAACATCTTTTTCTGTTTATTCTTCCACACATTAATTGTATTTCTAACGGATTTTAGAGATTATTTCATACAAAAGAACAATTAAATTTTATAATTCGCGTTCAGACCACCTTTTAGGTCATCTTTTTATGAATGATTACAATCTTCAAAGTCTTCTAATACTATTCGAAGGTGGATCTTTGATCAACATGTGTTGGGACAAATGCCTATAACTTACTGGCAACTTATCGTATGGTTGGAAGGCATGTTTCACCAGAAAACAATTATATACCAGATTTGAAGAGTACCTTCACCACAGTGCCTTAATCAAGAAAAAAATATCGAGGGTACGTTAATGACTTTCTTTCTAAAACTTGTTTCTAAACTTTTCAACTACAAAATCATGTAGGAATCCGTTGCTGAAATCACCCGTTCCTTCTCAACTCTCGAACTCGTCGCGAAGAATCCATCAATGATGGCGAATATTCACATTCCTGACTCTCTCGAGACCGAGTTTGAGCTGAGAGAACCTGAAAAGACACGACGTCGAAGGGAACTCGACTCGCCATCGACTCTCCCAACATCGGTCCCATCATCTAGTGCCGAGCAGCCAAGCCTGGGCCAGAACCCATTCGGACCATACTCATGGCCTATGTATTCTGGTATGAAGACCAGGTCACAGTTTCTTTAAAATTTATTATTAATAACAGATGCTAAGATTCTATGACAAATTTACTCTCAGCAAATCATATGCGTTAGTATTTATTGATAACAAGTCTTAAGAAACAGGGACCAGACGTTTATTAATTCCTCTAATGTCCATCGCAAACGAAGGCTCGCCTATGTAGTGGCGGATCCAGGGGGGGGGGTTAGGGGGACCGGGCCCCCTGAAAAAAAGTATAAAAAACACGTTAATTTAACCTTTATGGGGAGATGCCCCCCCCCCCCCACTGGCGCTCAAGGGGGGGGGGTGCACATTTTCAAATTTTCGAGGGCAAAAACAAAAATGTGCTCACTACCCCCCTCCCCCACTGAGCGCATTTTCGGCCGGCGCGATTTGAACATTTTCGGGAGCAAACAGTAAAAAATTGGGCCCCCACCCCTAAGGAATCCTGGATCTGCGCCTGCACCTGTTAAGAGAATTAGTTCGTGCGCCAAGAAATCAAATGTTCACGTTTCATTAACCTTTCGATTGAGGATACTATCCCCAGGCATGCTAAAAAGAACTAGACCCCGCAAGTCGCTCGCGTATTCATCAGCAAATAATGTATTTTCTGCAGTGGGTATTGGATGCCTTGTAGGCCTTGAGGCGCCTACAAAACCAGCATGCAATAATCAAGAAATCGGCCTCAAACTGTCAAAAATCTAATCGGGAAACCACTGCACTAGACAGGGCAGTACCGGTTTACCTTTACGTCACGAAAGTAGAAATACAGTTGAAGCTAACGGATGCGTTTACTAAACGAAAAGAGAAACATAAGAAAGCCTTAATAACCAAAGACGAACATCCAGAGCCATAGGTCATGTTTGTTGGCCACGTTAGTCCAAGCATTCAAAGTCAGAACAAAGGAGATATCAATATTCGAAAACTAAAGGTAACTAAAAAATCTATGAATTAACTTGAAGAAATAAGAAATTTATCAATGGGACGTATGGCGGAGGTCATTATCATCAAGGTTGAGAATAATCTTCAGAAAGAGCTTTTTTACTTGAAATATAATGTTAAGGTATGGTCACAACACCAACAAGTAGCCTGCTCGGCGCTCGGCGGCCGGGCGGCGAGTTTCTAGCCAATTTCGCCCGGGCACCGCTTTTTTTAAGGGCATCGCTCGGTCGCTGCTGAAGTTTTAGCGCTGAGTAAAAATTCGGGCGGCGCCTGCTCAATTCAACTCGCCGCCCAAAATACGCTCCGCCCTGGCACCGACCTAATCGAGCGTTCGCCGTCGAGCGATTTAGGTCAAGAATTCAAGCCGCAAACTAGGTCAAAGGCTGCTGAGCGGTCGCCGCCCGGTCACTGCTGGGAGATCAGTCGGTCACTGGGCGGCGAGTTCAAAATCGGTGGGCAGCCTTTGACCTATCGATTTCAATTTTTGCCCTTAATCGCTCGACGGCGAACGCTCGATTTGGCCGGTGCCCAGGCGGCGACCGCCGTGGCACCGAACGTATTTTGGTGCCCCGCCGATCACCAGCTGGCCGCCGAGCAATTTCTTTAAAATCAGCCGGTGGGAGACCGCTCGGGAATCAGTGGGTCATCAGTCGGTCACTGTCGGGACGCCGCCCAGAGAAGCTCCCCGATTTCGCCAAGTTTTTACCTAAAATCGTCCGGCGACCGACGGCAAATCGACAGAGCACCGCCCAGGCATCGCTGGGGCTCTACAGCCTGCTCGACTTCTCCAAAAATCGTTAGGCGATGCCTAAATTCCAGAGGCGCCCGAGCAGGCTACAGATCGGTCGGTCGCCGCTCTGAGTTGTGACCATAGCTTTATGCAGGCAGAAGTATTTAAGCCTCGCAGATATGAAATATGTATTCTGTTTCTTCTTTAGGTCAATGTTTCTTGTGTCCCGCTGGTGTTCCTGGAGAAAGAGGTCCTGCAGGACCACAGGGGACTGCCGGAAGGGACGGGAGAGACGGACGGGATGCACCGACAAGTCCACAAGGTAGACCTATAACAAAACAAATCTGACACGATATGGCACAACATGCAGAGATTGTAGAACATTTATAACCGAAGAATGCAGAGCTAGCGAAATAACATTCAGGTTGTTGGAAAACACTTTGAATATCGTAACTCCTATAAGTTGTCTTTGGAAATTTACACAATAAAGAGATACTATAAGCCTATATCGAAAAATACAATAATGGAGACGGATAGGCGGAGGTAACTTGATGATGTAATAACAGCCGCCGCTTAAAAAAAGTAAAAGTGCAAATTAGTCATTGATTAGTCAAAAATCATAAGCCGGGCAAATTACATAAAAAATATGTTTGTAGATTTTTTGGCTTTATTTGATTAACCACGTTGGATAATATCCGTTATCAAATGAAATATAAATTCCTAAACGTTTAACATTTTAGCTGATGAAACACCCTTCACACAACGACCAAGCACACACAACTAAATCCAGTTGTTTTTTATAACCTCGATCAAATTTACCACATATGATGGCATTATACTACGAATACAGATGCCCAAACGTATGGAATACAGTTGAATTTTGTATTTATGGATTCCGTTCAAACTTCCGAATGTTTAAAATTTTAGCTCAAGAAACACCCGCTTCACCGAGCGACGAAAGAAACCCAACTGAATCCCCCGGTGATGCGGTAGTGCCTGCAGTAGGTAACATGACAGGTCTACCTGGTGTCATCTACATTCGCTGGGGTAACGATGTATGTCCCGAAGATGCAGAAGTCATCTATTCAGGTTGGTACAGACATGCAATATCACATGGGGGGAAACTGTGCACATGGTTTTTCCATGATTGCAAGGACTTTCCGAAAATTAACCAATTGAAAGTCAATTTCAATAGTCTTGTTCATAACATATGGAAATGTGCGAATACTTCAAAGTTTTTCAAACACTATTTCTATAGGGTAAACAATAGGGATTGCATTATCTTTGTGTTCATTATCAAAAGTCTTTGCAATCTTGTTTAATTGTTAATGTAATCTGCAATCAATCTTATTTTGTTTTGTCATCGCGACGAACAAAATACATGGCTTATATAGCCTCACTGGCGGAAACTTAGGTGCACAACAATAGGTGGGGATTAAGTGAATGAACAAAATATGCAAAGTTCTTTGTGATGCTTGACTCTTCTTTATACAGTATATGCAAGATTAAAACAACATATTAAAAGGATGCCTGGTAAAAAAAATATTCCTAGAACGTTCTCCGGAGTTGCCTACATTGGTCGTCATTGGTCCTACGTCATTCTTAATTTAGATTTTGATGAATTTGAACTTCATTAGTGGGTTTATCTTTGTTTGTGTTACATTGCTTTGTGATTTATTCAGGTTCTATCGGAGGTGCACACTACACTCATGCTGGTAGCGGCTCAAATCATCTCTGCATGCCGGACGAGCCTATCTATGACGAAGTAGAAACTTCCCTACATACTGACCGAGCCCTACTATACTCCTCTGAATACCAAGTCAGTACAGGTCCTTCACGCATACGACCTATGCATGACCACACTCCGACCTGTGCAGTCTGCAGGGCGCCCTCCGGCCGCTCCAGCAAACTTATGATTCCTGCCCGAAACGTATGTCCTTCTCAAGAGTGGCGTTTAGAGTACGCTGGTTATCTTATGGCAGAGAAATACACAAACAAGAGAACGGAATTTATTTGTGTGGACCGAGAGATGGTTCCTAAAGCGGGGACCTGGGGGAATCAGAATGGTGTGCTGTTGTTCATGACAGAAGTCCGGTGTCAGGCGGGTGGGGGCTTGGATTGTCGACCCTATATCAGTGGTCAAGAAATAACTTGTGCTGTCTGTACAATCTGAAGGACTACTAATAAATACTATTTCATTTCGTATAGTTTGACACCGTTGTCGAAACACAGCAGCAACGTTAATAGTGGGTACGTGTTTAATAGATTCCATCACTCCCTTTCTAAAGAAACTACAATGGTTGCCCGTAGAAAAACGTGTTGCATTCAAGATTCCTATCATGTGTTTTAGAGCACAGAATCTTGCTCCATCTTATATATCAGATCTAATTCTAGAGCAAAATCCAATACGTACACGTCAAGCATCACCACAACACCTCCTTGCAGTACACCACTACACCCTGTTAATATGCATACCTATGGAGACTGATCCTTTGTGGTTTCGGCTCCAGCTCTGTGGAATTCTCTGCCATTTTCTTACAGTAGTGTACAAATTCTTGTTTGATGTGTCGGTGTGCATGTAGTGGTGTTTTATGTTGATTTAGATTGTAAAGCGTAATCTTTTAATGTAAAACGCATAGAGAATTGAGCGTTAATTATTATGTGCTATATAAATCGAAAGTTGTTTTTATTATATTGACAGTTCTTGTCATGCTTTTAGAACATCTTAATTTCATACACACAGCAGTGATAAAATGTACACATAAGTTCCATACACATACCAGTGATACAATGTACACCTTAGTTTCATGCACACAACTGTGATAAAGTGTCTGATAAAACTAGGCCTAGTTTGTCGATGGTTCTCTATATATTGTAAATGTGTATTGAGTTTTAGGGTAGATTTTCTTTTTCTTCAGGAAAGAATAATTCTTTTGTTACTCCGAATTATCAAACAAGAGTTAGTATTCATTTTTAAAGAAGTGTGATACGAAACCTGTTGATTGCTCAATGTATTTGTCAATATAAGAATTTACTTTAATTTAACTATATCAAATTAACATTGACTTCATAATTCCAAAGGTGTTGTGCTTAATGTTGTCTATAATGCTAACAAAACACGATTGTGAGAAAACACGTTCGACGGAAACTTGATTTCATCAATCTTGCCCGTTAAAAAACGTGTTGCATTCAAGGTTCCTATCATGTGTTTTAAAGCATAATTATGGAGATTTTTCAAAAAAGGTGTTTCATACTCAATTCATATTAGGCATTTCCATCTATGCGTGGTCATGCTAAAATAAATACGAAGGAGAAATCTTTAAACCTTGATTACCTGTTTTTTATTCTACAGAGTTACTTGAGATTGATCTAGATGGTTTATTTTTACAAAACTCACTGGCCTCTTTTTATTATACAAATTGATCAATATACCGACAAAATCAAACGCAGCTTGAAATAAAGCAATCAGGAACCCCTTTATTGTCTAGGCATTACAATCTCGCAATGACTTTCAAGAAATATATAGATTCAATGGCAATCTCAGTTGTTCTACCCTATTGTACTGCCTTCAGAAATCAAATTCAGATTACGTAATTTCATTTTTTGTTATAACTTTGTTACAATTTTCTTAAGACTTCTCATACATTATACAAATTAAAATGAAACACATGTATTTCAAATATATCATTATCACAATACAAAATGATGATCAATAAAGTAGGAGTAGAAACCGAGATTATGGATAAAAAACAAAGAAAAAGGACAGACAACATAATAGGTTACTATATTATTCTAATTATAACACATCCCATTCTTTGCGAAATCTATGCATGGATCTATCCTTATAACAAATATATTTTTCTGTAAGGTACATGTACGTTTGATTTAAATTAATAAGAAATAATTTAAAAGAAGCGAGTATCTCAAGATATCTACATAAATACAATTTTTTTTCTCGCAATAATAATACAATGATTCAATAGAGCATGCTGTTTGTCTTGTAATTACGTAAATTCATGACATTACAGTAATCGAACATTTCCAAAATCCAATGGTGATGGACAAAGCTAACGAAATCGCCTAACGGTTTGATTAACAATTTAATAGTGTACGGTTTGTTAGTGCATTGGCAGATTAGAACACATTTCAGATGGAGGGGGGGGGGGGGGGGGATCTAGAAAACTTAAAATGCAAAAGAAGTAGAATTGTGTGTTTGGCATTGGTCGGTCAGTGAGAAATCGGAAATCAGCTATTCATCTAAAATATATCTCTTTCTCTCTCTCTCTCTCTCTCTCTCTTATACATCGCTATGTTCTCCCTCTCTATCTCTCTGTTGTCTACGTGATATTGTCAATAATTATCTTTCAGTCTGTCTCTCCGTCACACACGCCCTCTTTATTGTTACCCTCTATCTCTCTCCCTTCCTCCTATAATGTCTCGAGCCCTACTGAGATATGGATATGTCCATGGAAAATGAACACTATTTTCCTCTCAGAATGACGAACGTTCGGTTTAACGAACTTTTGGAATAACGCAATAATGTCTTGTTCAAAAGTATGAACCGTCTGTCCCGTCTGGTATGATAACATCATGTTTGGCATTGCGAATCCTAGGAGTGATGAATATTAAGAGACACAAGTGTCTCTCGAGTTACAGACCGGGATACAGCCAACGAGACCGACGGTGACGGCCTCGTGGGCTCTCTAGAGGGTTCGCTAGACCGACATGACTTTTAGACCCTCAGTGCTGGTCTCGTAGGCTGGCGACCTAATAAACGCACTTTCAGAAAACGAGCATAATGACGAGTGCCTCCCTCTATTGGTACCATGCCTTTTACTTACCGCTTTGTCTTTTACTATTTGTTGCCTTATGTGAACATAACAGAACAGTCATCAAAGACATATATTTTCAGCAGGAAATCTCAGGTCACAATATTTTATTCCCTCATCTATGGTTTTGGTGTATTGATATTCGATAGTTTAATCTGAGAATAGAATGTGGGCGGTTGAAATTGCAAAATAATATAAAGATCTTTTAGTATTCGACCATGTCATCATAGCTCACGTCGTGTCGCAAAGTTTATATCGGAATATAAGCCTTGGTACCTTTTTTGGTGGTGGTGGTGGCGGTGGGGTACTGTTGTTGTTGTTGTTTGTTGATTTTTTTGGCTTATTAGATAATTTTAGGGAAAATTTAGGGGAAATGTTTGTCAGTCACCCCCACCCTCGACACACCTCCAGTTTAAACACCTTTAGGGCGTCTTTTGGAGGAATCCTACCAAGTACCAAGTACCCCTCTCCATTTCAAGAATACGTGTTTTTCCCAGTTATCCGATCTTATGTGCCCCTCAGCTATTGGTAAAATGAAAACAATCCCTGTCGGGTCACCAAAATAAAGACCTGTTTAGGTTTTATTTTTTTATTCTGTTACCACTAATATGGGACAACATATTACTCTGTCAAAAGCTGATGAAGCTAATTTATATTACTTTTTCCTAAACTCATCATCATCATCATCATCATCATCATCATCAAATTATATACACTTAAAATATTGTGACAAACCATGTTATGTTCATGAAAATGTATGATGAAAAAAAAAAAAAAAAAAAGATGCAGAAACCAATAAATCAAAATCAAATCAAATCAAATCAAATCATCATCATCATTTATTAAATTAAGAATATTCCCTCTTACGATGGGTTCTTCTTGTCTCGGACATCATCCTCATTTAGCTCAACCGTAATTGACTTCTTTATTTCAATATCGTTCCATGTAAACATTGTCTCGGCACGATCTATCAAGGTAATGGCAATGGTTGCGATTTGTCTGTAGTTTGGGGAAAGTGCTTTTATTCGTTATGCCGTACATGGTTATCATGCCCTCAATGCTTCAAAATCGCAGTGCCTTATCTTTATTAAAATTCTCTGCTAGGCGACAAATCTTCTTCTGCTGCTTCTGCACCCAGGTTGGGAAACAGTCTTTTTCAATACCTTCGCTCTTTCAAGGACATACTTGGCTCTAGTGACCTGTTATACTTTTAAAACCCTCATCTATTCCATATACAACGAGCCAAAACCCCAGTCTTTCCAAGGTGGATCATGGACGACACATTCAGTCAGTTCTAAGTCTCATCCATCAGTACCTTTGAGTAAAGCAGCTGGATATGGCGGTCTACACGTTCCCAGATTGGATTGCATAACTTCCTGACAAATCTTTCACTCCATTGAGATTTATTAATAACTAAAAAAGTATTGAAGGTAACAAGGCGGTCTATCCAATCAAGTGGACAGCTGGAGTCAAACAAAAAAGAAAAGGAACTTAATCATAAGTCACCTTGGGATATATGTATCATCTCAAAAATGTTTAAGGATCTCATGTGAAAGGGTGACTGTCTACATGTACATCTACATAAGAAATAACCTTGCCCCTTTCATATTTTGCCATATAATTTGGATGTCGAGCTTGCCACTTCTGCGCTATAGCTCAGCTCAGCTTAATGTGTATTAATGAAAACGGTTCTAGAGACTTTAAATACAAAAAAAAAACTCTGCCTAATACACAAATGGTTGTGCCAAACTAGCTCTGGCCCCTCCTGTCACCTAATTTGGCAAAGAGTGGGAGGGGCTTAAGTGGTATAAATACCGAAGCCAACCCGATCCTTGGACAGTCAAAATCACCACGCATTCATCTCCTCATCAAAGTGATTGCAGAAATTCTCCTATAAAACCTTCACTCGAAGTAAATTTTAAAAAAATCTCTCGGCTGCTATCAGCAAACTGTTCAAGATGAAGTCGTTCTTTGTCGTCACTTTAGTTCTATTTCCATGTCTGTGTCTTGTTGAAGTCACCCAAGCCGTTGCTGTTTCAAAGGAAGGTACGCAAGATGAAGGTGAGGTTTCTGGGCAGGTTTCATTTAGATCATACTGCTACTTGTCACTGTAACTTTCTACCATTGATGTCCAAAATAGGGTAAATGTCCTCCCTACAACATCATGAATGTATTTTTAGTAAAGTGTTTAAGGGGTTTAATTTCGCAACCAAGCTTTTGGTTAGGAATAATAAAATGTATTTTATCGATAACTCTGATCCGCAAGAGCATTGTCTGGTGAATGATTTCAACCAAATGAATTAGCTTCGATTGGCCAATGAAAAGTTTCTTGATTTATTTAATTCTGTTTAATTTTCTTTTTCTTTTGCATTTTTAGAGATATATTACAAACAGAACATTGCAAATTTACACACGACACAATAATATATGTAAAATAAGGTAAGGCTGGCTGTAACTAATCGAAAACATCAATTTGCGTTGATACTTGTTCTTCCTTGTTTAACCTTTTAAAAAGAATACAGTTGAACAAATAGGGCTAATACATTCATGAAATTGTAATTAACGGCAACAACATTGTACCAATAACGTGTCCAAGTTAAACATGAGACTTTGATCAAAATTTTACAGAAAAATTATCACTTTCTCCCTAGAATGTTAATGAGTTAAAATCAATTAAAATGGTGTTTATTCTTTCTCTCCTTCTCGCATGTAGCTTTTGCCCCTGAAAACATTGTAGATTCAGGCAAACTGACACAGACAGAAGAAGACAAAATCTCTGAAATCAGAAAACAAGTATTGCTTCTTCAGGTATGTACACGTATTTAAAAGTATACATCTGGGCATTTCACATGAGACCAATTTGTATGAAATCACCCTGAAGGAAGGCCAGCTAGGCCCTGCTTTATAAAAATATCAATAACAAGTTGTAACTAGACTTTAATTCGTCACTTTGACGAATTAGGTGATACGTATGCTAATGGTTTACATAATAAAGAATGCATTATACGATATCATATTATTTTATGAAATGCTTCATCCATTAAGATCTATCCATATGTCAAGTTTAAATTGTGTCCCCTTGATCATTATAGATGTAGGGAAGATAGATTGAAAAAATATGACCATTGACCCTGCGCAGTAACCAGTTACACCTTTGATTCTAATTTATATCACGAAGAACACATTTTGACGATTTTATCTTATTCAAAGAAATGAAAATGTAATTGATAAATGATTATCATCATTATGATATTGATGATCATGATAATCATGATGAAGATCATGATCATGAGCGGGATCCTGACATCTTATTGAAAAAATGAGGGGTGATTTAGATAGCACATAGCACAAAATCCAAGCAGAAATAACAGCGATATTGCTCGCAAAAGACAGGAATGTAGAATCCAGATTTGAGAAAAAATTATCTCCCACAGGGATTACACGCAAAAAGTAATGGATTAAGTGAAAAAAGGGAAACACTAAAGTAAATAGGGTTGTTTATTACATTATTTGCGATTCTACGTGTTTAAATAATCAAAGGAGATGGTACAGTGAAAGGTCAAAAGGAAAAAAAAAGGTGGAGAAAAAATTGTTGGAGACACCCGGACTCGAACCCGGGATCTCAAGGTCGGAAGTCAAGTGCGTTACCCATATACCAAAACATTTCTTATAGCGATTACACGTAAACGAAAATGGAATTCTAAAATCCCACTTTGCAAGTAAAATATGAGCATGATCCCGGCATATGATCGAAAAATGAAGTCACATTGGAGATAGCTCATTGTCTCAGCTACAACATATCCGAAGCTCACGGAAAACAAAGTTAAAAAAACGGAGATGTTGCTCGCGAAAGACGGAAATGTAGAATGCAGTTTTGAGAAATAGTCATGTCCCATAGACAATACACGCAAAATTTGAAAAATTGACATGCCTCCTTTAATTGCAAAAATACGCCATGATACCTTTGTCAAACTGGACAATTATGTACACTGCATTTGTAGAAAATTGTCTCAGCTAGAACATATCAAAATTTGAAAGAAAAAAAAGCAATATTTACAGAGATACAATCAATTTTCCAAAAATATGCATCCGTCATAATATGCAAATTTAAATTTCGAGTTCGGAGGCCATTATGATGACATTATGAGTTAATTGAGAGTCAAATGAGACATGAAATCATATTTCCATTTCATAATCTATCCACATATGAAAGAATATTGGGAGTTTCTATCTATTCTGAAGAGTTACAATGAATTTTGTATAGGCATTTTTTTGCCCATGTATTGTGGATAAAGATCACGCAAATCCGCGCGTGCTGTCAACTTTGACGGATGCTCATTGCGTTATTAAAAGGTGAACAAATTATCAAAATGCTTGGAAAAATGTACAAAATACGATGACGGAGAAAATATTGGGATTCTATGTTGCAAAATGCTAGTACGCGCAAAAAACGCACGCGCATGCGCGTGAGCGAGATTTTTTGTCAAATGCTCTATATGGCCTTAAACGTATGCAAAAAAATTTTGGGATGATTTAGAGCATTTTAAATTTTTAAGCGCGCGTAAACGCGCGCACCTACACGTACGCGCATTTTTACGCGCATATATTGTCCTCAAATTGACCGGGCGGATATTGACTTTGATCATGACAAATATGAATGAGAAATGGCTTTCCGTTATGAAGATATGATCATAAGTTGATTTTAACAAAATGGCGTCTAGATGACGTCACGATAATTTTTAGTCTTTGAAAAGTCACGCAGTTCTAAGTTAGACTAAGATCTATCATCATTGAAAGTTTCATGGCAATGGCTTTATTCAGTCTTGAGATATCCTGCGAACAAAATCGAGGAAGAATAATAATAAATAATAACTAGACTTTAATTCGTCACTTTGACGAATTAGGTGATACGTGCTATTTTGTTATCATGAAAGTGTGCCGATGATGATCTAATGATAATGATCATAAATACGATAAAGACCATGATTAAGAGTGGTGTAGCGCCCCCTTCAGGTATTCGATAGAGATTTGTAGAATCAGGATTTCAGAAAAAGTCGCCTAACACGCAAACTAAGAAAATTCTGACATGTCACCTTTAATTGAAATTTTCACTATTATGATGTCATCGAAATGATAAATGATGTACGTCAATATTGTAGATAATTTATTAGCTGCACCGTATCAAAATTTGGAAGAACATAGAATACAAATAAGCTAGATAGTGCTCAAAGATCAATGTCATGAAGATTTATGATTTGAACGAAATTCACCTTCCTTAGGCATAACACTCAAATTAAGAAAATTCTGAAATGTGGCCTTTAATTGAATTTTGTACTATGATGACGTCAATGAAATAAAAAGTAGTGTGTATTTATCTTGAACGCAATTGCCTCAACTACAAGATACCGCAATTTGAAAGAAAATCAGTCAATATTATGAGAAATACACTAAATTTTCCATAAATATAATGACGTCATAATATGCAATTTTGTATTTTGACTTCCAAGGCCATTATGATGACGTCAAGATGTATTTAATGGCCAAGTGAGCTATGAAATCATATCTCCGACTCATACTCTATCAAAATATGAAAAAAAACTTGGCAGTCCTTATTCATCCCAATGGACTTTTTATAGGCATGTTTTTGCCCATATATACTATGTAATACATGAGCTCGCGCGCACGGATATTATCTTGAACGGACGCTCATTCCGTTATTATTAGGGATAAAGAGATGAATATGGTATCAAAATGCTTGGAAAAATGTGCTCAACATGATGACAGAGAAAATTTGGCGATTATATGTTGCAAAATGCCAGAACGCGCAAAAAACGCGCGCGCATGCGCGTTTGAGTGATTTTTTGTCAAATGCTCCATATGGCTTGAAACGTATGCCAAAAAAATTAGGGATGATTTGGAGCATTTTTAATTTTTGCGCGCACGTAAACGCGCACACGAACGCGTACGCGCGGATTTGCGCACGTTTTTTGATCTGAAATTGACCGGAAGGATATTGATCTTATTCATGATAAATATGAATGAAAAATTAGTTTCCGTTATGAAGATATGATCATATGTTGATTTTTACAAAATGGCGCCTGGATGACGTCATGATAATTTTGAGTCTTTGAAAAGTCATGCAGATCTAAGTTAGACTACGATCTATCATTTTTGAAAGTTTCATGACAATGGCTTTTGCCATTCTTGAGATATCCTGCGAACAAAATTGAGGAAGAATAAAAATTTCTTCTATACAGACACAAAATAAATACTAGACTTTAATTCGTCACTTAGACGAATTAGGTGATACGTATGATAATGGTTTACATAACGAATAATGCATTACACGATATATTATTTTATGAAATGCTTCTCCCATTTATATGCTTCTCCCATAAAGATCTATCGATATGTCAAGATTAAATTGTGTCTCCTTGATCATCATGGATCTAGGGAAGATAGATTGAAACAATATATGACCTTTGACCCTGTGCAGTAACCAGTTACACATTTGACTCTAATTTACATCATGAAGAACACCTTTTGACGATTTTATCTTATTGAAAGAAATGAAAATGTAATTGATAAATGATTATCATCATTATGATAATGATGATCATGATGATAATGATCATGATCATGATCATGAGCGCGATCCTGACATCTTATTGAAAAAATAAGGGTTGATTTAGATAGCATATAGTCTCAGCTACAACATACTCAAAAATCAACAAAATCCAAGCAGAAATAACGGCGATATTGCTCGCAAAAGACAGGAATGTAGAATCCAGATTTCAGAAAAAGTCATCTCCCATAGGGATTACACGCAAAAAGTAATGGATTAAGTGAAAATAGGGTAATAATAAAGTAAAAAGGGTTGTTTATGACATTATTTGCGATTCTACGTGTTTAAATAATCAAAGAGAATGGTACAGTGAAAGGTCAAAAGGAAAAAAAAGTGGAGAAAAAATTGTTGGAGACACCCGGACTCGAACCAGGGATCTCGAGGTTGAAAGTCAAGTGCGTTACTGATATACCAAAACATCTCCCATAGCGATTACATGTAAACGGGAAATGGAATTCTGAAGTCCTACTTTGCAAGTGAAATATGAGCATGATCCCAGCATCTAATCGAAAAATAAAGTGCACATTGGAGATAGGTAATTGTCTCAGCTACAACATAGCTGAAGCTCAGCGAAAACAAAGTTAAAACAAGGGAGATATTGCTCGCGAAAGACGGAAATGTAGAATGCAGTTTTGCGAAATGGTCATGTCCCATAGACAATTCCACGCAAAATGTGAAAAATTGACATGCCTCCTTTAATCGCAAAAATACGCCATGATACCTTTGTCGAACTGGAAAATTGAGGACACTTTATATGTAAAAAATTATCTCAGCTAGAACATATCAAAATTTGGAAGAAAATCAATCAATATTTACAGAGATACAATCAATTTTCCAAAAATATGCAAACGTCATAATATGCAAATTTAAATTTTGAGTTTGGAGGCCATTATAATGACGTCATTAGTTAATTGAGGGTCAAATGAGACATGAAATCATATCTCCGACCCATAATCTATCTAAATATGAAAGAATATTAGGAGTTTCTATCTATTCTAAAGAGTTACAAAGAATTTTGTATAGGCATGTTTTTGCTCATGTATTGTGGATAAAGAAAACGCAGGTCCGCGGGTGCTGTCAACTTTGACGGACGCTCATTGCGTTATTAAAAGATGGACAAGTTATCAAAATGCTTGGAAAAAT